ACCAGTCCGCTGTTTTTTAACGTTTAGTGGATATGCGTTTGAGCAGTTTCTTATTTGTTGGAACCTGAATTTCGTTTATTTAACTGTTACTTTTGCTTAGAAAAAATGACTACACAATTTGAGTCTCGGAGTACACCCACAATCTCCAGTTTGCTTCGTTATTCGCTAACTTCGAGAAATTTGCCTAAATATTTACCCAATGTAAGGTGCCCACTGACCACAATCCGCAAAAAACGGCATTCTATTTGTAAAGCAGTACTGTTCGTCAAAATCAGTAGTCATCGAGTCTGTATGTGCAAATTGATGAGGTACATCAGAGAAGTGATCAAAAGCTCATCGACAGCGACTGTGTCATTAATCATTTTCCGTAACATACCACGCTTTGAGCAGTGGCAATATCGTTCAAGTAATGCGAATATCTTTATTGATTTTATTACAAAACAATAAATGAGTACATGAAAGTCATGTTGAACCATACATCAATAATAAATAACGCGAAGATTTTTTAAAACATTATTCTCATGATCAGCAAAAATATTGTTGAATTTGTCCAAAATATTGTCCAATCAGCTGATCTGTGCAAAATAAACCATCAATCGTTACTATGAGGAGACCATCCACATAATGGTTTTGAGGAGATTTCGCGGAGAATTTTAGCAGTTCACGGCACGGATGCAAGGCGAAACAACACAGAATTTCGCGAGGAGTGTGCCACTGATTCATCTCAAATCGAGCTCATCTCAAATTATGAATACACGGACGGACTGCTGACGCACTCAATCATGAAACTGCATTACATTTTTCTTCGTCCTCTTCGACGGTATTTTTGAGCATTTTCAACTGTTGCATCAAGAATTCTTTCTCCATTCTCAGTGTTTGCACTTCGTTCAGCGCTTCGTCTCTCTCGGATGTTATCTGAAAATTTCGAAAGTTTGTCACTCCGATTTTTTTTTCGGCTGAATTGATCAAGTGCGATAAATTTTTCACGTTAACTGTCCCTCAAGTACTCTACTGCGCATAATTTTTTCCCATGCAAAAGCGGCGAATCGCGAACAACAACTTGAATCGTTTCGGGAACGATCATCCCAACGGTTTTAAAAACGATTTTTATCAGCTTCAATCTCATTCTTACATTTCACTTGATTGAATGATTGAAATTTTTGATTGAAATGATTATTTTTCGACCACTGAAATTGGAGGTTTCAAAACAAGAACTGTTATTGGCTAAAACAAAAGAAGGCTTCGCTAGATGATGATGTTGTGCTCTTGCGAAGTATCTTCGATCGCTCGAAGGAATGATAGAGGTTTCAGTGATAAAGCGACTAGTTATTATTAAGTCAAAAAATTGCTGTAACTAACGGCTTGGATTTCCTTAACATATTTCTGCATCGAACCATTCGCCAGATTTTGTTCTTCATATTTTTTTAACTCGTCTATCTGAAATTTTACAACAACAACAACAACATGGACAGAGAAGATCAGAAAAAAAATAATCACATTTGTTAAAATCTCATTTAAAGATTGATCATTTGGTTTAGATTAGAAATTCACACATTGAAAGGAGCAAGAAAAAGTCTCAAAATTGCACTCTCAGAGCTGAAAACAAACCTCATCTCTAGCTGCATTTCGTGACGCTTCAAGTTCATCACATTTCGCTTCCATCATTTGCAACTCATTTTTCAGTTCATTACAACGAGTTTCAAGCTTTCGCAAATTTCTGCAAGAAATAAAGAAATGAAAGCGAAATTACTATTATATGATC